AAATAAAAGAAATAAATAAAGATATAAAGATATAACGGAAAGTTAGCTAAAAAAAATCACTGCTTGGCGGTGAAATAGTGTAGTTAAATATAAATCAATACAGATTAATTCAATTTTGAAAAATAAAATGTTACCAAATACTCTTAAAAAATTGTAATTTGGTTGCGTAGTTTTTAGACTACATTGCTATTTAATAAATTCTAAATTTTTAAGACTTTTTTATACTTTTTTCATCTATAATTTCAAATAATCAGTAAATAATGATTCTCTTAGTTTGTACAGAGATAAAACATTTTAATTACTGATATAAATTTCCGTTTAAGTAGCCCTTTAATATGACATTTAATACGATAATTTATATATATCGCAACATCTTAACGTTAGTTGAAAAAACAGACAAAATTACTTAACACCCTTCTTTAATTGCGAGTTTCGTGAATTCTATGTATATGTATATGTACTAATAATGTAACGTATAATAAACGTATAATAAACGTATATGTTCTTACCATGAGGATAAGCAATAATTGACGCTATCGTTTTTGAAAATGAGCCTGCCGCCATAAATTCGATGAAGTCGCGGAACGTCTTCCTATCATCTGTTTGAGAAGCTCGTGACCTATGTGTAGCTAGCCACGTCTTCACAGCTTCGTATATCACAAAGTGTATCACAGTCTCACTTATGCCTACGTAGGATGCCACGATACCTTTGTAGAATCCCAGGATACCCTGTAAGAAAATAATAAAAAACATATAAAAATGATATAATATCCTGACCTAAATGTAATGTATTTCATGTATATGCATAATATTTCCTCAAAATTTAAATTTATGCAACAAAAATATTAATAATTTCAAGATCATACTATTTTTGTTCTAAAAAAAATTAAAAACTGCAAAAAGAATCTACAAAAATCTACAAAAATAAAGCTTATATATATTTAAATAATAAAACAATCAAATTGCTAATATAAGGATATTTCAAATAGCTAGTTGACTATATAATAATTAACAAAAATTATGTATGTATTAAATGCAAAACACGACACAATTATACGATAATAATTATATTATTGTATACTCGTACATATTTATTGTACACATTAATATTGATTATAAATATATTAATAATATCGCAAAATTATGCACAATTGTCTTACATGGAAATCAAATCTTTGAATAATGAAGTAATAGCGATACTATCAAAAACGATATGATATCTCTTATCAATGATATATTCAAGCCTGGATCTAAGGGTCCAAAAGAAGGAACATGTGATACCTGCATGCTCGGTTAAAGATAGCATTAAATTGAGTGTTCGTATCTGTGATAAGAAAGCTAAAAACATTTGAGATGCTACTCGCAATTTGACGATTCAGAGGTGTGTATTGCTGATAACAGATCGATATTAAACATAAACAGATAAAATGACATTTCGATGATAAGGGTTCCATCAAACCATATAACCTGATAATTATCATCTTATCGAGTCGATTTAGAATCTCCAAATCGTAAAGTGTATGAATTATTTGTCATACACTGCTATGATTAACTTGTAAGTGAATTTTTTCAATGTTAATTAATTTTAATACAATATTTTGAAAAAAATTTCATTTTCGTCATTTAATTATTTCCTACATTTATAATCACACAATAATCGTAATTATATAAAGTTACTTATGTAAAGTTCTGTTCTTTGTACGTCGATTTGTATTTCCAATTTTACGCACGAATCCATCGGAATGATGTACGAGATGATGACGGATATATATGAATCTATTTATTACACGTTACTCAACATACCATATAGCGTGGAATTTTCCAAGATATTTTTACTTGGACTATACTATTCGTAGGTGTACTATTCATGGTGCCAGTTTTAAAGCTGGCCCGATTCCGGCGTGTTCGAACACGCAATTTCAGTACATGTATGTATATAAACGAGTGCAGTCGCACTCTCTCACTTCAAATAAATATATTCGATTTGAGATATGTTCACAGAATGAAACGAGTGAACAATTTGTCCGTGTGTTGAAAGCCAATGTTTCTTGTCAATATACAAGTCGTTATCTCATTCATTCTTTTTCAATAGAAATAATTTCAACTAGCACGTTAGTATCTTACTGTACGTTAAATATAAGAAATTATTTTCACGGTAATCTGTAGGAATTAATTAAATAAAATCCTTGCCTTATAATAGACCCTTCTTAGAAAATTATTTTTTTCACGATTAACTATGGACTTCTTGCGTATCAAGCAGCTTAGAAAAATATTCTTTCCGCGATTAACTATGAAATTCTTGCGAATCAAGCATCCACGAAGCTTAAACAATATAGATGTCGTCATTAAAAGATAACACTTGTTCAAGTAATAATTTCTTGAAACATATTTCGCGAAATCTGGATAATAAAACTTGTTCGATACGAAAAAAAATTCGGTATCTGCATCTAAGATACTGAAGGATGATTACATCAGTTCTATATCCGACGAAGCCACTTCGCTCCAACGTAAGTGCTATACCTATCGTTGCGCCGACCGAGAAAACAATCTTGGCCGCAACTAGCGTTCGTTAAATACTTATCGATGCTATTGCGATATCGTAGTTGACATTTTACAGAAGATCCCTTGATTGTTTCAGATTTTCGCCAATTTATTACCACATTCAAAATATTTTCTTGAACAGCGCGACTGCAATTCCGGCGATGATGTCGCGACGACACTGACGAAACCGGTCGATATAAACTTATAGTCTGAGAAACTATTAACAGAAATCTCAGAGTTTTTGCGGAAGGAGAAAACTCGAGCGAGCAATTATCGGAGAAATCCAAGCGGTGGTTGTAGGATATCAGAAAGAAAGTGTAAACATATTTAATACTTGTTGAGCGAGTTTATCTTTATGTGTAAAAACGTAAATTATTAATAGAGAGGAGATCGCGAACGGTTATAGGTTTTTCTGCAATTCGTTACTTTGACATTTAGTTTTTTTTTTTAATGTGTCATCGGACAAGTATATACTTAAAATTTTTGTGTAACATTATATTTAAGTATATGCTTTTATCATTTAGATAACTGCAACGTTCCATGTTTTTTCTCTTTTTACGACGGTAGTACGTGAATTCTCTTTAGCGTCGAAGACACGACTATAACTATTTTCATAATGTGCTCAATGCAATCTTATTTTATTTATTATTAGTACAGTAGAATTAAGGAGAACTAATGCATTCCTATGGAATTATTGGCGGTTACAAAATAAAAATAAAATCTATGGCAGAACGTTCTGAGAAAGATGCGTATGTATAATATATCTTATGTTATATTTATGTACATCCTATATTTAACGTTGCACAAACATTTGATTTCCATCAAATGAAATATTCATATTAAGAACAAACTCAACATTATATGTTCCATACATTTCCATACAATAAAAATGTTACAGAAAGATATTGCAAAATATTAATAATACATATAATATTTACACACCATTTACTTGAAGAATACAAGAATTACTTCATTTATTTCACTAGCCCTTCATCTCGACGTGATATTTTATATCATATATTTATATTTTCGAGAATAGATCTCTCTCCCTTGCGTCATTTTTTTCATGCAGTGAAATTTATTTTAAATAAAATTTATTTAGAAAGACCTAAATCATACAGAGAGGATTGACAATTGTCGATTTAAGAAATAAGAAATGTGCAAATATTACAGTTACGTTTGTGTGTGTGTGTGTATAGGATACGCTACATCACACGGCACGGCAATTTCTCATCGAGTCTTTCGGATTGCAATCGCAAATCGCGATAAAAAGATTTGGTGCCTTACCGATTGTCGATATATCCTCCGCATGCATTCTATCGCTGTGACTTTTTGTGATCGGTGGTCCAGCTGTAGTCGGGTTTTTATGAACCAAATTGGATTTGTCAATGTACACGCGGTGAAACCTGCAAAAGTGAACGACCGTTTATTGAAACTGCACGGCGCTCGGTGTTTCGTGAATGAGCTGTTATGAACATTCTTTTTTTCCTTATTTTTAGCGTCAATCGGGTTGGAACGACAATTTATCATAAATACTATTCGACCGAGATTTCGAAGAAAAAGATAAAACTACAATTGATTAATCGACGCATAAATCAGTAGGGAAAAAAGCTCATTATCAAATTTTCCTAATTTTAATTTTTTATCAGTATGCTGAAACCACCTTTTCAACTATCAGATAATATATGTATAGACATCAATTTCAATTATTTTTTCTCTAGCATGTTAAAATTCTTATTAAGATCTAGGAATCTTGTTTAGCATTGGTAAAAGAGTAAATTTAATTTTCTTTTATACGCATAAGACATTTGCATATACATTTGAGTATTATATAATGCATAGAATTTTTATTATTCCCATTGACCCGATTTTGCGAAAGATCAGCAGGGCATCGTCCTTCTTACGCTGCAGCGTGCCGAGGATACGTGGATAATGGCACGAGAGTTATGCAACCGAGAGTACTACGCGTCGTTTAACGCGCAATTTATAGCACGCGGCGACTTGTTTATGTCTTATTTACTTTTTGCGTTTCCCTGAAGTTTCAATTGACGCGGAACTTACCGTGATTCAACGATCGCTTTTGGAAACCGGTCTAAGAAGCAAAAATTCAGAATAACGCAGAAGATCGATCGTGTTGTCATGATTACGCAATCAAGCGTAAATTTCTCACGTAATTCGAAGAGACAGATTTCGCGCGTGAAAGGAAAGATCACTCAAAAACGATTTAAAAAAAAGGTCGAAGGATATTTTCTTGATCTGCGAAAACAGATTGCAGATTTATCATCGCATTTAGGAATAAATGCAACCGTCGCATACAAAATTCTATTGCAATTTTATGCTGCATACATAATTAAAGTATTATATAACATGTATAAATATTAATCTTTATAACGTATTAACAATATATACATTTAAATAAATATTCCAATGTATATTAATAATATTTTAATAAAAATATTAAATATATTAAAATAATATATAAGAATTCAAAAATATTCGAAGCTAAATATATCATGAAAATTATGATTACGAAATTACGCGTGTAATATTTAAAAGAAAAACAAATTAAAATTATGGACTTTGCTCTCTGAAATTTTATTTTAAAATAATATAAGTGTATGCGAAACGATAATTTTATTTCACAGAGAATCAAATGAGATCAGCAGACGTGGTAGTGGCTTGATCCTCTTTGTAAACGCGAAACGATAAGATGAATTTTTGTTTCAAAGACTTTGTAAAGAGATAGGATTAATTAGAACTTCCGAAGAGGAAATTTTAATATATTTCTTGGCAGAAAGAAAATGTAAAAAAAAAAAACAGTAATCATGTTTAAAATGCGACGTATTGGCGCCAAATGGTCAGCGCTATTTATGGTCATTAACGACTTTTCGAAACAAAAATTAAGTATGCGGTTCTCCCTCTTTTCTCTCTCTCTCTCTCTCTCTCTATTACTGGCGCACCACATTATCTGCAATTATGACGCAATTCCGGTTGCACCGTTGCGGCCTGTTGCGGCTGACGCGGCGTATGATTCTTCGATGATAGAGACTGTCGCTTACGTTCGACCGCAAGACGCGAAGGAAGGCGGGCATTGAATTACGTGGTGAGGACGGCTAAAAATAGATGTACACTGTCCGGAGAGGCACTCTCGCTCGCCGGCGAAGCGACGCGACGAGAAAAGGAAGGAGGGAGAAAGGGAGAAAAAGGGAAATGTGGAGAAGAGGGGAAGAGAAAGAAAAGGAAGGAAGGTCGTCGAACACGCACCTGGCGCGACTTCCTACATCCGAAAAACAATTCAAGGTTGCTCAACCTTGAATTGTTTTTCGTAAAAATGAAAAAATACAGATATACTTAGGTATATTTCAATAAAGTCGTATCTACGATGGTTTTTTTACTATTTCTGAATTCGCGTCATTCCTTCCTCCACATTGTGGAGTCTTTCGCTTGCAACTTTGTCAATGTAAAAACAAATTATTTAAAAATTTTAGAATCTTAAATCTTTGGCATCATCTTAACTTAAAACCGTCAATATTCAATATGTAAGACACGTTGCTTTCGAAATTTAAAAAAGCCAATAAAGTTTCAATAAAAATGTTATCTTAATTTTTGAAATAGTTAACATCGAAAGACAATAAGTAAATATAACATGTACGCTATATAACGATATTCTCGAAATAAATTATTATTAAAGAGAAAATGATTCCAAGTATTTCAAAGGCATAAAATGTGAAGTAAACATAACCGTTCGCAAAGACAGATTTTATCGTTTGTTTACGCAAATTTCCAGTTAAGTGATGTATGAATAACGATGTCATTGTTCATGTGTGTAGATATTCGTATGTTGATTACAAGTCGTTGAATGGTGAATCCATGAATGATGATGGAAACAAGTAAACAGATCGGAACGTTTCGACGCCGATAAATGCACATCGCGTTACAAAAGATTAGCATAAATGCGTCGTTTTAGCAACAGGTTTTACTCGAAGAAGTATGCAAAGATCGGTCCAAAGTGTTTTTAGAAATAGATTTTCACACTTTCACTAAATGTTCTACTGAGTCACAGAATCGATGATACTGATGGATTTTATGTAGAGATGACCATGTGGCACAAGAGCGGAACCTACAGATCACCCTACTTCTCGGAATTTGGAAAAGGCTGACCAAGAAGACCGAGGGACCGCATATCATTCGAATAATTCATGAGAGAAGCACTGCAAAGTTCACAAGAGTAAAAAATCAATGAGTGAAAAATGGATAAAAAGTGCCTGAAAAGAATAAAACATTGTCCAAAAGGATTGCGACAAAATTCTAGGTATATCCTAAGTATGTCGCCATACAAATTGGCTTTCCTGATTATCACATAAAATCCTTTCACCTGTGTGATTCAATAATCTAGTAGAACGTTTAATAAAAGTTTTATGAAAATCTATTTAATTGAACATTTTGGATCAATTTTTGTATATTTCTTTACAAAACTACAGGACAAAGATTTTTTTCCTTCGATTTGTATACTTTCGGTAAGCATATTTATTAAAATTTCTGTCTTTAATTAAAAAAAAAGATAATACGCAAAATGTAATATGAAAGATATTCCGTGCATTATTATTTGGAATACTTGCTGCACTAATGTTCATAGAAAAAATAATAATATTCCTATTAGCATAATGATACATATTAATTTAAGGTATATAACATTTGATTCGATCATATACACCAACTATAAGAAAAGATTTATATATAGTATTGTATAGTATGTATTTGTATTTTTTAAACTTTCAGTAATAATATATTAGATGCAGTAGAAAGTTCTTTGCTAAAAGCATCAATCAGAGCATTATTTCAAACTGAAATATTTTCGCGCCTTTTTGCAATTTTAAAGTTAATATTAATAGTAAAAAAAACCATGGTGGGGGCAACCATAATCTCAAAAATCAATACTGTTATTCAATTGTTAATAATGGCAATAACTAAAGAGCATATTCGATATTCCATCCACATTTCATCTAAAAAAAAAAAATGTTGCTGAAGCTGCCAAAATGATTTGTACTGCATACGGTAATAATGCTGTAAGTCACAACATGTAAAAATTGGTATTAAAAAATTCGTGCCGGAAATTTTGATTTGAAAGACCAACCACGTTCTGACCAAACTGTGAAATTTGAATCGGACCTGCAGGCATTATTGAATGAAAAACAGTGCAAAAAGCACCTGCGAAACTGCTGGGATTGAGCTTTTTTTGTTATTCAAATAAAAAAAATATTGAATTTTGTTAAAAAAAGTAAAAAACTTTCTACATCTAATACAAGGAACAAATATAAATCTTCTACACACAATTAAATGTTTTATTTAATATTTCATTAAAAAACGCTGCTAAATAATTATATTTTTAATGATTTATGTGTATACATGGTCTCTCTTAGCCTTCCACTTATACTGTCCACGAAACACGTCAGTCTATCCGGTCTTTTTTTATCTCAGTTTATTTTAGGGGCAATTCAGAGTCATTAAAGGAAAACAATTGGAAGAGCCATTATGAAGTATTAAAGGTAAACAGCGATAAAAGCTATTACAGCCCTCCATATTAAAGTTGATCGGAAACATATGCTGACGCGACTTTATGTAATATCTTATCTATATGTGCAAATGTGCGCACATGATAGGATTATTATTCACACAGCCGAGATAATCCATACTCTCATTCTCTCTCGCAGATGCAAGATGTATGAATGATACGAATGACACTTGACTGTCAATGACAGTAGTCGTCCTAGAGATTAGATTTCATCCTATAGAGCAAACAATCGTTATCGTTGATTGTCGATCAACGTTTGATGCAATGTGAATAGAAACAAAAGAATTGAGAACATTGGAATTGTCAAGTGATTGCAACAGACGATATGCACCGCCAGCGAATTTCAAAATGCAGTGGAATTTTTCATTTGAAACTAGTATACGAGTGATTCATGCAAATAATGATACGGAAAAATATCAATTGTGTAGCCATCACCAAGTTATCGCTGAACATTTGGATTCCTTTTTAAATAAAAATTTATAGATTTCATGTTACAAGTATTTAAAAATGGAATTCTTCTCACGATTTATCGATTAAAAATTATTTTTTTTTTATTATTTGATTTGAATGGAATTTTGATTTAACGCGTGCTTGAAGCAAAACTGGACAATTAAATTTTTGCTTTTATAAAATTAACATCATTTTAAATTATTTTAAATATTTTTTTGCTTCTAAAACATTTATATAGGAGGAATTTTTGTCTATTTATCCTTATGATAATTTAATCTTGATATAATTTTTTTGAAATATCCTTCATATAAAAAGCTCGATATCATATTTACACATGATATCGAGAATGAAGATATCGTGAGAACAGCGTACTCGAATTTTCACTAAAATCGAATCTGAACGAGTGGAAGAATCCGCAGTTCAGAAGTTCTTGAACGGTCTGTACTTACGCAAAAGCGGCGCGAATGATAAACAATCGCGTCGCGAGAAGACAAGACACACGCGCCAATCGCGTGGCTCCCCTGCGAACAGACATCTACAATAATAGCGGATCGTGTTCTCGAGGTCAAAGTTCAGCATTCCGGATGATAAACTCTTTATCGTCCGCAAAATGGTCTTATTGACTATGAGTATCATTTATCGGGTGTCTATGAACGAGCGCGTTCTCCCATCTCGTTTTGCGTAGGTATTAAATGAAGGAAGAGCGGAAGCGCGTATCGGAAAGTGCATTATCGCGTTATGCAATATCTTCTACGTTTCTGTGGGAAACGGTTATTTCGGGCAAGAATCGTGAAGTAAAATGAGATAACGTGTATACGCATAATAGCATCGTTAAGTCGATTTTCTACACGATCGTTTTACTGCCTGCCTTTTTCAAGCTACGTTCGTTGCGTTTGCGTAACAATTTGGCAAACGAAGACGCGCTGAGCTCACGAAACAACAGTGAAATTAATAGTAAATATTACAAAGATTTGTCCACATACTCCACAAATAATAGTTAACAGAATCTTTTAATTTATAAGTGCTCGTATGCACACTTTCCGATCGTAACATGTGACATCATAAAAGTCTGCAATAGATAACAGAATTATATTTGGACCATTCTGGAACATTTCTTTCAAGTATTTATTGATCTTATGATTCATCTATAGTAAGAAAGCTGTAAGAAATCTTTAATTTTTTGACACTAACATTTTTTGCTTAAAATGCTTAACTATCAAATATTTCATCCTAAGTCTAGTCTAACAATAAGTGATCTAAACCTATCACTACCAAGTACTAAAAGTTTAATGGCAATTATACATATATTGCTACAAAAAATGTGATAATTTAATTTTTAAAGATAAAGTTTAGATCTAGTTAAAACTCGGTTTACGAGTCTCTCAATTCTTTCTGCAAGCAATCTTTTTATCTTGTAACTTTTTATCTTTAAAAGACGACCTATACCATATTGTTAACGACTCGTTAAACATTAAAATGAATTTATGTCCCTTAAAGAAAACAAAATTTATCCGGGTTGATCATTATCTATTTCTAAGACATCTAATTTGATGCGAATAGGCGAAGAATGAAGAAATGGGAATGGAGAGCGCGTATAATTGTACTAGTGGGTACCTATATGTACCGAGTGTCCGTCCTCTCGTGGGTTATCGACATCACGGGAGTTCGAGCTGTGGCGTCAGAATCGCAATGCGACGTCCGCACTTCGTAATATATCCATTAAAGATAAACGCTGCATGAATGACGCGTAGAATACTTTTCCCTCCATCGGTCGTTAATCGCGCGTCTATCGCGCCACTCCGATGATTGGATTTGTCGAAGAAAACATAACGAGACCGCTCAGACAGCGCAACATGCGATATTCTCGCGCGGATCTGCTTACAGCTCTTTTTTTTTAATCCTTTTCTCTTTGTTTATCGTCAAGGTCAGCACATTATGTTTCTTGCAAGAGAATATAAATCATGAAAAGAATTGTGATGCGGTAGCATGCAACGTACGAGAAATAAAAATCATCGAATTCAGATCTATAAACTTTATCACAAGACATTCTAAATTCAATATTAAAAAAAAACATTGTTTTGATAAGTTTTAAATCGCGTTTTCTATAATAATAATAATTTCTGTAATAATATTAATTTTCTCAAAATCTGCGCATCAAAGATATAAAATTATATTGCAAAATAAACAAATTATTTATAACATTGTTAACGTTTGTTTTTAACGATCTGTTTTAATTATATTATTATACAATTATCAAGTTTTAATTGGCGGGATATTGGGTCATGATCACGAAAAGAGATTAATTTATCTTCACTGCACACGATACGAAAATAGCAGCTGATCAATGAAAAATAGCTGCGAGAGATATAGAGCGGCGATACTTATAATATGCAGTGCAGTGTAATTTTATGCGAGGTAGTGCGTAATAAGCGCAAATAAACGCAAACCTATGACCGTTCCATAGACTAAAACGCGAGCTGGTTCAAAGTAGACTACACGGAAAGGTCAATAATTAATAAAGAATAACATAGTCTTAACGATTATGACGATGTAGAAAGTCATATTGAATTAGTATATCTATATCGATCTATAGATAAGTATATTGCGCTTGATAATATCATTGCACAACATTACCATATGCGATATGTTAACCCTAGATATACACACTGGGATCCCCGAGACCCCAGCAAAACTTTCTCGGTTTGGCATTTCTCAAATTAGAAGGGGAGGGATATTTACGTAAAAAAAGTTTGGGATCTCCTCAGTAGGAAGACGTGTTGACGCGCGGCAATTGTCGCTCAACAACCGAGCAGTGAACAGTTGAAATGAGCATAGGGTCCCCGGGACTGCTCGCAGTTTTGTTAAAAAATTAAAATATCGAATCGCCAAATTTTTTTGCTACTATTTCAAGTATGCCCTTTCAGAATTTTCAAGGATTTTTCAAATCGGTCTATAAACAAAAGAGATATGATTTTTTGAAAAAAGGTGCTAAATCGAGATTTTTTTCGCGTTTTTGAACTTTCCTTTTTCTTTAAATCCACATATCTTGAAGCTCCTTAATTCTATCAACTTTTACACATTTTGGACTTGTTCCTTGGTTGATTCTCTATCGATTGAAAGAAAAATTAATTGAAATATGTCCATTTTTATTAGAGTTACAGTAATAAATATAGATGGGGTCCCTGGAACCCAGTGTAAGTCGTAAAAAAAAAAAAAAACAGTGTGTATACCTAGGATTAACACCGTGAAATGTATATCCATTACTAATCTCGATACTACGGTGTCATTTATTTTACATAATTTAAAGTACAAAATGTAAAGCTAGATCGCATTTCACGAATATATTTCAGCATAATTTTCTGTCATAGCGCAATGTAAAAAATGTATAAATAATTAAAATTGTCAAAAAATAAAGTAAAATAGACTAAAATCATATAGATTAAAGATTAGCAAGGAATAAATTTTTAGTTTAAATCTCCAGTGTTGTAGTGTAAATTTAGTTTTAAAATTTTTTGTTAACGTAAACCGTTAAACAATTAAACTTGTTTATATTAATGTAAAAAAAATATTATATTATAGATTTGACGATTTAATTTTAATAATATAAAGCATCACAGAACCATGAAAATTATATAGTGTAAAAAAGTAGGACAATTGCTAAGCTAATACTTGATCCAAATTCAAAATTACTCTAGAATCGAAATTATTATTAAAACTAATTATTCGTTTAGAGAGTTGAAACTAAACTTTAGACAAATACGAGGATATTTATAAAGTGGCACACATGTTTAGTATAATAACATTGTAATAGCGTGGAGTATATCTTACCAGCGCAGGTCGCGGAGAAAACGTGGACGATCGGCGTGTCAGGAGGTAAAATCGCGTTGAACGCAACTTTGCTCTTGGAGTACGCGCAAAAGTAGATAGCTCTGGAGGGTGCCACGCCAATGAGATTCGGACCAAGGCCTTTGAATAGTCCTCGTGCACCCTCATTCTTGATGATGTATCTTAAGCATTGATAAATACCCGGCGCGTGTCGGGAAGAGTCCGGAGGCGAGGTCGAGACGCCGAAATGTGAGAGAGCTACAAAGTGACTGGAATACCTGAAGACGAAAGAGACCGAGAACTATGTTTAAGAACACGCGTTTTTGTCCACCCGTGCCGAATACACGCGTGTCGCTCGATCGAATTCAACTCTTGTACATTCGTGTGATTGCATCTAACATATTCTGACACAAAATTACATTTGTGAAATTAACATTTCGTATTCTTTCGATATTACTGTAAGAGTTCCAGAGACAGTTGTTCCAAGGACATTTCAAAAAGAATATTCGCAAATACTTCACATTACACATTCGAAACAATAAAAATAAACCGACTATTCTGACGATTTTTCAATTTTCGAGTGGACATTTTTCAAGCTCACACGTGAAAAATCTTTCGCAAAAACCTGACGATTTTTTTCAAAATAATGGATAGCTCTCCTCGAGAGCCATCTATTTTAACGATTTGTTCTAATGCTCGATTCGATAAAACCAAAAGTGAAAGTGTTTCAGCAAGATTTTAGGTATCGGAAAAATTTTCAAGTCCTCATGGAAATGGAAAAGTTTTCGCCGACTAGCCGACATTTTTGTCGTAATTTCTATATAACTTCTTAAGAACTTTCTAAAAGTTTCCCCTCGCGTGTTTAGTATACATATTTCAGATAGAAGACAATAATAAAAAACTTGGAAAATAAATCGAACAAATTGTCCATACATAAATTGTAAATAATTGGTAAATAATCGCCCACTATAAAACAATTATGAAGTTGATCAAACAATATAATAAACTGTCGCGATGCATGCAATATACTAAATCAGCATTGATTTTCTTTGCGATTAATTTACCTGGGATACCCAGTACAGAGTCTTCTGCGTTGTTCAGGCGTCGGTGAACCTTTGCATGTCGGATGGCCAGATGTGAATTCCTTGCTTATTGGGGGCGGATGAAAGCCGGAAGACGAAGACTGTAACCGGGTCTTTACTACTTCAAGCGGACAAGTTACTATTGCTCCTGCAGTGCCAGCCACTCTACGCAAAAAGTAAAAGGAGGGATTAGTGTGGTGAGACTTTGATAATCTCGTCAGTATTGTTTATCTGTTTGCAATCGTGATTGCTAATTTCTTATATCCGCAAAGATATTGATGTTTTGTTACGATAACCGTATACAATATCATATAACGTTTAATTAATTAAATCTAATACGTACTTAAGAGATTAGCTCACCCCCGAGGCCTTAAAATGATACTTGAGATTGGGATTTTTTTGTAGGTAAATAGATAACTTTATTTAAAAGCTGTTTAGAGGACATTGTTGTACATTGTTGTCATATATAAGAAACTAAAAAAATTTTTTATTTTTTTATGCACAAAATGGCGGCGTACTGGCCTACTTGCGGAATACCTTTTTTCTATTTTTTTAAATCGGTGTACAGGATTCCAGGCACACGGTTTGCTCTTGAACAAAACACAAAGAATTTTCATTATCTACATATTAAAGACTACAGAAGTACGTAGGTTTTTTAAAATATTGATTTTTTTCGAAATGGCAGCTATTTTTACGAAAAGTTCGTATTTTTGTCATTAGTTTTTTGTAAAATAGTTGCCATTTTGAAAAAATCAATATTTTAAAAAATCCCTACTTACCTCTTTTTAATATGTAGATAATGAAAATTCTTTGTTTTGTTCAAGATCAAACCGTGTGCTTGGAATCCTGTACACCGATAGAAAAAAAGGTATTCCGCAAGTGTAAACCAGTGCGTCGCCATTTTGGACATAAGAATAAAAAAATATTTTTTTTGGTTTCTTATATATATGTACAATAATGTCCTCTAAGCAGATTTTAAATAGTTATACATTTACCCATAAAAAAATCTCAAACTTAAGATATCATTTTAAAACCTCAGAGGTGGGCTAAACCCTTAAATACTGTAAATATTAATGAATATTCGATCAATAATAAATAATGTATAATATGTACATTTGTAAATATGTACAAAAATATACAGCTCTCTCTTATGAACTTCATCTATTTAACTTTTTTGTTGAAGTTTGTAAAGAATTGATAGAGAAAGAAATCGTTATTTTCTCTAAGAAAACACAAGGAAATTCCATTACGTAAATTACGACTGTCTACGTAATTAAATTATGCGCTCACAATAATTATAATAAAATTCCAATTATATTATTTATAATGTTTACAAACAAAGCGAAATATGTATTGAGAGAACAAAATATTCGCTACAAATGTAATCTGATTTACATTTTATCTTATCTGATTAGAAATTACAGCGAGAGAGAGAAAGAGAGAGAGAGAAAGATAAAAATTATAAATAATCGTTGAGATAACGGTAAAAGCATGAGAAATGTCGCATGATTCGTACGAAGCAGAAATATCAATATTTATTTCATGCGAGAACTCTCACGCAGAACTTCACTGACACAATCTCGCAAATCTTTCCAGTTAGAACTTATTACAGTCATCTCTTGTCGCGCCGTAAAGTAATTAGCAGTGTTAGTGAACCAATACTCACGTTGTAACATGTTATCAGTGTCATGTTTATACTTTTCGAGGCCCATACTCGTAACTTTGAGATGCTTGATATTTGAGTAATAAAATCCAAAGATATACAGTAGCATCTTACGTCAAGAATATTTTTCATTAATAATACTTTTTATAAAGATGCTTTAGCGTCTTATATCCTTTATTAAATTCTACAAAATGAAGATCGACAATATTAATTTATTACCGTTTTCCATTTGAAAATACGATAAAATATAAGAAATTAAATATGTAAAAATTTTATTAAAGGAAAGTGAAAAGAAATAACAAAATCTCATTCTTTATACATTTCTGTAACGTTCGAATTTAAATTAAGTCAATTTTAATAAAACTTTAATTTAAAAGAAACTCTACATACAAATAAAAATATAACTAAAAAAGAATATAAATATTCTCTATATAAACATCAAAAAATTAGAAAATTGCAAAGAACAATATGTAATTTTCATTAGAGAAATACTTAAATGAAAGTCATCAAAGTATATTGTATGTAAGGCTAAAAAAAATATGCTGTACGTATCGTAAATTTAAAATCTTCTTGACGAATTGTATGTGTGAGCATGTAACTTTCATTTAATGGAGAAAAATATCTTTGATCTTCGAGGCTGTCAAAGGTGCCCCTGTAACTAGCCTAATTCGCTTACTCTCAATGTCGCTATTGCATAGTGTATGTCGAACCTTTTATCAATAGTCCAAAGGAATGTGGCAGTATAAATTAGCGTCTGATTCACATGTCGCGTATAATAAATCCGCGTATCTTTCCGCGCTGAAAAGCAGGTGCGCATTTGTGCAACTCTCGTTGATCGAAAATTTGCATGCTAACTCTGCTAATCTGAATAACAACTTTCAGTAGTAATAGGGTACATAACAATATTTCTTTGCAAAAGACTTTTATCACATTTGTGCGCGAAGAATGTTTCAAGCAAAGGATCTCCTTCAAAGGATATACTACAAAAATCAATCATTGACAAAATTAGTGAGGAAAAATTATTTTTGTGATATATTGTTTTTCAGGATGGATACTCAAATTTTGTAAAAAAATTCCCTAAAAATTCCCGGATTTTCTAGGAATTTTATTCAAAATTCCAAGTAAGATTAGAGAATTTCTTAATATAGCTTTAAAATAAATTAGGCACTAAAAGTTTTAATAACGTATAGAATTTGATGCGTGAAACAACTTATAATCTTCTCGTATGTACAATAGTTACATCTCCATACAAAATTTTTCGAACGTAACGAAAGATTTTGTATGGAGATGTAACTACATATGTGAAGGTTAAATTGTTTCACGCACCTAGTTCTGCGTTATTAGACTCTTATAATGCCTAATTTATTATTTTCGGATTATCGTTTTTTAGATTAAAGAGATAGATATGTCAATAAATTAACTTTCAATATCAGGGGCCTTCAATATGAAGGGGCTACATTTACTTTCTAAAGGGATAAAATTAAATTTAAAAGTAAAATTTAAAAAATTTTCCTGAGTATCAGTAAAATTCTATGAGAATCCATGATTTTCAGGGTAAAAATGAAATTCCCCGAGAATTCCAGGTTTTCCCGGTAGTACTCACCCTGTTTTTAATTCAGTGTATAAACTGAACCAAATAAAATAATAAATTGAAATGTGAATTGGAACTTCATTATAATTATCGTGAGCATATAATTTGATTATGTAGACAGTAGTAATTTGTGTAATGGAATTTCCTTGTGTTTTCTTGGAGAAAATAACGATTTCTTTCTCTATCAATTTTATACAAGCTTCAACAAAGTTAAATAGATAAAGTTCATAAAAAACAGCTGTATATTTTTGTACATATTTACAAATGTATATATTATACACTATTTATTATTGCTCAAATGTGCATTAATATTTAAGTACATAAGATTTAATTAATTAAACGTTATATATATATTTTTTAATAACTGGTTAATATTTATAAATAAATTGCTAATGTTAATTAATATTTCACTTTAATTAATTATATTTGCAATGTATTTTTATGTAATCTTTTAAGAAAAAATATAAAATTTGTAATATTATGAATACGATAAAAAGCTTGCTTCATTTAATTAATAAAGAAATTCTGGACTTAAACAATTAGTCCTCGACTGTAACTATTATCAATTCATAAATATACACAATCAAGTATTACACTTATAAATAATGAAATAAGAATTCCGGTTTATTACGGCTACCTAGTTTTCGCTACAGTAGTATTACACCTAAGTCTCGTAGATTTACGAAGTTTCAGAATGAAATTTCCAACGCACAGTACTTCGAGGTAAATAAACCGTTTAGCTGTTCTCTGTTGTCAAGCGAGAAATGTTAGTCCGTGAAATGCTGTAATACACAAGTTTACTTACTTGACCTTTCAATTGATCTACTTCTGAATAAAAAAGAGGAAACGCAAGATTCGATATCGCAAGATGTGCCGGTTTTGAAGTGATACCTAGGGCGCTGTCTAATAAAAGTATCTGTATAGAATAGCTAATAACAAGTAAGTATTGCTAACAAAAAAGATTAAACGCTTAATTTCTAAATTATAAAAGTTTACAAATTATAGTTTCACGGAAGATTATACGAGATTTCAGTGAATTGGACTTTGAAATACATTATAGAGTAAACGATAAAACTCTGTTCTTTATTGATTAACTTTAATTAGACTTCTGTGATTTGAGACAGAAGATATCAAGATATGTAGTGTCAAAAGTTAAAAGATTAATGATTTTTATCGTTGAATCTTTATCAAATTATGCAAATCTCGATTCTATTTTAAGGAATATACGAAATGTATATCAATCGGATAGAATTGCATCAATAAACGCAAACGCATTTGTGCAATAAAATACACTCTTAAATTGTAGAAAATTGTAGTTTGTGAGCGCTTTCATATTACTTTCTTAGACACCGAATCCTACATCCTAGTTTAACATGAACCTACTCGTGTCACATCATAAAATATGATCCTTTCTTTCCTCCCGGCGCAAAGTTATGTGTACTGCCTGACGCAATCTTGACCCACATCGTCGCACACGTTTCGAGAAATGGATGTCTCGGATTATTTCCAGTCGATATTCCCTAATCGAAGATTCGATCGCGGGTTGTTGTTAACTACAGTTAGGAGGTACAAGACACGAAAGCTCGCAGAAACACGATGTGTTATACGTGCAGCGCGTGCACGGGCAGTATACGCGCAGACAGGTATCGAATGCAAAGCAAGTACATGGCGCCCGACAGACACGGGTTTAACATTAACTGCGTCGTCGAATTCCTTCTCGAGCGAGCTGACACGCTATCTCAAGAATAACAGGTCTTGTATTTCGGCATTGGTAAGGCCAGTTGTGAACCCTGCAGCTGGCCAATCTGTCATCGTTTACGAAATGTGTTACATGTAAACAATAACACGAGGATGTATTTGCTATTATGCTATTATAGTATTGTACACTGCAAAGATATTATTACAATACGAAAACATCAATTAAAATATACAGATTCGGGTGCATATAATCAACATTAATTAACTACTAAATAATCTCTTTTTATTCGTTATTATTATGCATATATTCCGTTTGTTATACTTATTAGTGCCATTATTTTATCGTAATTATTGATTCAACTCAGAGAAGGACGAGATTAATTAGAAATTAATTGCAATCATCTATACAAGGGCATTTAAGACTGATTGTTCGATTAACAGACTAATTAATAAAAATTCTTTCCTCTTATATATTACAATTAAGAATCAATAAGATAAATATTGTCGACACAAATAACAGTAAAATAATAAATACTAATAATATTGTTCACGGTCAACTATGAAATTTCCTCTATGTGGAAATTTCATCACAATTCGATCAATTATATCTTATTATAATTTTGCATATTTAAATGATACAATATTATTTTATATTTATACTATTCAATATTATACATTATTGTTATATTGATTCAATTCTCTCTGCGCTGTACTAACAGACTTAACTGCATTATATAAGCATAAAGAGAGGAGAGGGGGGGGGGAGGTGGAGCAAGATTCGGTCGATTGGGGTTAAACGATATTGGCGAAAAACCGGTCTTATCGGCTACAAAAGCTAGAAAGGCCGACAATCGCTGAACTACAATCAGTTAAGGTTATCATCAGTAATGTGCAGTCTCAGGCTTCTCTCACGTATGCGTTTCTTTCTTTATCACGCACACCGTGATCATTATAAAAAACAGAGGTGATAAATTTACTACGTCGTCGATAAGGATTTGAGATACACAGAGATTGGCGCGTGTACACTATAATTGGCAGGAACGAAAAGTATCTCCGCTAGAAGTTGCTTTTCTCGATAATGTTTATCTAGAAAAAAAATCGCCACCTTGCGTAAACGATCGCATGCGTGCGATCGCCTTTGCCCCGAATGTGGCTCCTTCATTAAGAGCTAGAGATAAATTGTCCGATAATTTCGTCGCAGTTACGAACCACGTGCGCGTCGTCACGTCGCGCGTCGGTTCAATCCAATCGTCATAAGAATAACAATCGTGGAATACAGGCTGCGTTAACCTGAGACTGCGTTAATATATGTTACGTTTCCGTCGCGTGTCAATCGATAATCATTTGCAACTGCGACGAAGACAGAAGAATTCCGAAACATTTACGTATAACATTTACTTTATTTTACGATGATTTAAATCGACGCAAATAGTAAGCGTGTATTTCCATAACGTTTTAAGTGCAGAGATGAGACGAGTTGATTTTATCGCACAGTGTAATGCATTTATAAACTACATGCCCTCGCGATAAAATTGATGTATCGTTTCCGTGCTTATATTATGGAGACGCCTGCTTGCATTATACTAATATCACTTTATTACGCGATGTAGACTCGAGAGAAATTTATTTAAATTTCTTCCTCCTTTATTTCTCCTATATTGTGTCCATTAAATTTTAATTTCGGGATTTGAATTTAAGTCGGAAACTTGTTTGAATTCAAATTCATTTCAAAAGGATTAGAAGCTGAAAATTTTTGTGTTCAATTTACAATCCTAACCAATAAAACAATTCAATTTTCATGAATATTCTAGTTTTCATTTTTTATATAATTTTTTTTTATATTAAATTAGAATTAACTTTTCCTTCACGAAAACGTCGAAGATTATTTGATAAAACTTTTTAATGTTAAATGATAAATGTGCTTTGGAAATCATCATCAGATTATAAATCTATTAGTGTTCACTTTCAAAATAATATAAATAAGTTATTACCAAAATGGTACAAATCAACTTCTTGAAAATCACATAAAATTTGCTTTCTACAATTTCACTATTAGGTGATCATTATTTTATTATTTCTATAAGAATACAAAGTACTTTATAAATCAGGAAATACTTTTAAAAGCTTAGCAATAATTTTTCTAACTTTTATGTATATGTATTATACAAGTTCAAAAATATCCTTATAAAATCTTCGTTTTTTTTTTTCAATCTAATTTAATCTAAATTTTAATTATTAATGTTTGATTTAATTTTTCTTTTGTATATACACAATCTGTATGGAAAGCAAAGAAATCTGACGGTGTTAACTCAATGACGCAGAAATGCAGGTAGAATCGCATCATTTTCGTAATTGATGCAATCCTGATGCAAACCGAGATAAATATTTCAGTGACTGCACCGTGTCTTAGAGTCAGATTTGAAATAACAATTTATCATTAATCAGTGATAATCAGAAAATTATTAGTCTCCCCGGATATTCTTAAAGAAAAAAATCTACAACGTCATAGAGGAAAATCGACTCGAAGATCAACAAAAGAAAATATTATAAACAATAATTATATATATATTACGACGGTATAAATATTTAAAAAATATTAAAAGTTGAAAGTTTAAGTATAATAGAAAATTGCTTGGCAGAGGTGTTTCTTTTTCCGAGCATCCTGCACGTCAAACCCGGTTAAAAACAATCTCTCAGGAAGAGCGGTTTGAATCCGACTGAAACCACGCGGCGCTCAGGAGGGCTGTTAATCTCCCTTGACTTGATCACATAAATCGAACGGTTTGCAAAAAAAGAGATCGAAATGAAGACCTGGCCAAGGACTGGTGTGACGCAGAAGAGTGGAGCAAAGCCGGGTAGGACCGGGCCGGGGGTCCGAGACGCGCGCGCGCTTAGTCGAAAATAATACTCACCCTCCGGCGACGAGGTGTATCGCCGTGTCGCGATCCAACATCCTCCGCCGTGTGCCGCGCAGATCCGCCTGTCAATCTAGCGGTAGCATGCACTTTGCGCGTTTTCGGCAACGACGAGGCGGTCCGGGGCGACCGGACGGACGACAGGCCGTGGAACGAAACGAAACGAAACACGGGACGGAAACAGGCGAGACAAGGTGAGGCGCGCAGTAAGGTTCGTACTGAAGTACTACGTAACAACGACCGGCTTTAAACGCTTCACGGGCGATCGCGGACGATTTACGACGACGACGCGACGGACCGCACACTCTTTCTCTCTTTCTCTCTCTTTGCTTTCTCGGCAATATCGACGAGACGCAATGACACACTCGACACACACCGCAACCACGACGTATGTAAACTCTGTTTTTTTAACGTCGCGAAACGACAAACGACTCCGACCGGAACGACAACGTATCACGCACTACCGTCAGATTCCCCCAGATTCTCCGTCTTCACCCTCCTTCCTCCCACCACATTCTAGCCCACGACGAAATGAGCGAGCTCTCGGGTGTTAGAGTCCTAGATTATCAGAGAAGCGCGACCGGCTTATGGCAGTATCGCAAAAGTACTAGAAAATATTAAAAATGACGTCGAATGGCCAATCATAAGATTGATTTATTCGGCAGCCATTTATAATAGCGATAAATCAATCTTATGATTGGCCATTTGCGAGTCCAATCAGGACTCGTAACACCGGTCGCGCTTCTCTGATAATCTAGGACTCTATCGGGTGTGTGCGACGAATGTGGACGAACGACTCCGAGCGCGTTCTGTTTCAAGGACGAAAGCAACGTTTCGCGCCTTCGAACGTTTCAGGTTTCTAGTAATAAATGATAAGTTTAGCATCAGTTGTGTCCATGAAAGTAAGGGCGAATTCACACCTCGACAGAAAAGCGGAAAACAGAAAAGCAGAAGCCAATCAGAACTCGCACTGGTAGCAAAAAAAGCAGGAAGCAAAGACTATTGACTACCAACGCGAGTTCTGATTGGCTTCTGCTTTTCTGTTTTCCGCTTTTCTGTCAAGGTGTGAATTCGCCCTAAAGCTAGGAGCACAGACTTTTGCATAAGGAAGAATTCACTCCTTGACAGAAAAGCAAAAAACAGAAAAGCAGAACCTGACAGTAGTTGAGAGTTTCTGCTTTTTGCTCTTTTCTTGTTACCAGCGTGAGTTCTGATTGGCTTCTGCTTTTCTGTCAAGGTATGAATTCTCCCTAAGACCTGGATCACATGAAATGCATAATGTGAAGCAGCATAAGCAGAGAGGATCCTGAGAACGGTCAT